AAAGAAGTAAAGCAAATAATTATCTCTTCTAGTTACGACCTTTGTACTCGGTTGCTGCTTTTGCACATGGAGGATATGAAACAAAATAATTTCTTTTTATGTTTTAATATATATGCATTTGAATAACTAAAAAAGCATACATTACTACATTAATATCATAAAATTCCACTATATATAAAATTTCAAGCAGACCAAAGACACACCCTACCTAATTGAAATATTGGTTCAAAAAAAAGAAATGGTGCCAAGACCATTAAAATGGCTGAGAGAGTCATTAGGGGACATTCTGAGCTTTAAATTGGTTATTCATGTCATATATAGAAGTGTATATAAAGGAGCATTTCCAAAAATGGAAAGAGGTGGGCAGGGTGCCACTGTGTTTGTTTTATTACATGAGTAATATCTTAGCAAACAGAAAAGATAAGAGGCTCTTATTTTATATTCTAGCTTGTCAATATCGGTAATTTGAGTTTCTAGTTCATACAAAACTATAGACTTAGCATTTTGACTTCAAAAACCTCTAATTTGAACCAGTGCTGCGTTCAACATACCACATGTCACACAAAAATCGATGTTTATCTGTGTTTTTAATATCTGCTTTTCAATTAAGAAATTGAGTAATATATAGTACTAAAATTTGAATTATAATCTACAGTTTGATACCAAAATTATTGACATAAATTCATGAAATAGTAGTTTAATAAAATTCTGAATGCGAATCAACAAACGAGATGTCATGGCCTTTCACCCGCGACCTTTCTCAAAAGGCTTAAGAATAGTCAAAACATTAATGAGAGATGTGCCTATCTGAGCAAACTGAATGAAAAAACCGAGAGTGGAGCAACCACTCCATGGTTAGAACCCCGTCCAGCTGAGAGAGACAATCCATCACCACGTTCATAGCTCTGGCACATGACAAGCTAAGGGATAAACCCAATAAATATTAGCGCAAAATTGCAAGTCCAATGTGAGGAAGCTGAAAGTCTTAGTAGGGGTAATCCCAACAGGTGATGTAAAAAATGACTGTATGATTGTCAGAGTGTATCCTTATTTAGGAGTAGGAATTTTTGAGAGATAATCACACAGACAAGACATACACAATAAAATTGTGGAAGCTAAGTTATCCATGACATAGAAAATACTTTACCACAAAGTGAAACCTGAGACCTGTCACATGCTGGTGTGTGCTCTATAGTAAGCGAGCTAAACGAATAACAACTGAATGTCAGGTCCATAACAGGTAAAGCACCTTCAGTTATTGCTAAGTCAGTTAGAGAAAATGCCTGAAAAGGAATTTTTTTAAATGTATATATATATATTTTACTTGTCATACATTGTTGAATGTAGTCTAAGGTAGAAAACAAAGTTGCAATCAGGTGGATGGAACAAAAGTGCAACAAGAACAAAAGCAATGAAGCACTAAAGAAAGAAAGGTTGTCAATTAAGGCAACTAAAACCTCAAAACCACAGGAAAAACCATGTCTGAACAAAGGAAGGAGCCTATGATCAAATGCTAATGCTCACGGGGATTATTACACATACAGGTCATGTCACCCTCCTACTGGTGGAGGGCTATGATAATCATTATTACGATAATCACATCATAGGCTGGTGTAATACACATAAACACATGTATGAGTGGGAGTTTGGTCAAGGCTTGTGCCATGTGCAGGAAATTTTACGGGCAGTTGTGCATGAGGCAATAGTTCTTAGTGGTGCAAAGAGGTAAGTGGCATTTCTGAATATAAATTTTCAACCTCATTTTCTTGCTTTACTGAAATATCACTGTACTTGTTCAACCCAGAGTGACATACTCCTCCCAGACTCTCTGTCATTTAAGAAATTTTGATCATTCTCTTTAACATTGTCATGTTGATAACCAATAGTTTATATTATAATGTATAGAAAATTTTTGTTCCTTTGTTTATTTTTGACAAACAAAGATAGCAGTTCATAAGAAAAGCTTTTCATGTGTTGAGTAAAGTCATTGCTCTGAGAAGTAATGGAATTTTTTAAACATAATTATAACTTAGTTAGAATACCAAATAAATCACAGTAATTATTGCACATGGTAATCAAGTGAGTGATTTCTTTTTGGTTTCCTAATATTTAAATTTGAAATCTGCATGATTTATTTTCCCCACAAACTTAGTAGGAAAAACTAGGGTTATGAAAGCATACATGATATTTGACCGAGTGCAAACATTTTGAACTTTAACAATCTTGCTACAGGTAGGTCAAAGTGGGCATGTCATGACCATTTCAGAGTTATAATCAAAATTTAATTAAACTAAATTATTACCAAATTATTCAAATCAACTTAGCATCAAAACATAGCTAATAAACCTAATTTTAATATTAAACGTTTTAAGTTCTTAATTGTGTAAGTAAGTATATATATAAAATCCTCAATCTCTCCTAGTATGAGAATCATGACATTTGTTCCCTAGATCTAATCTATTTGCCACTCCTCCCTAAAGAATTTATCATAAATTTCTCATTATAACACAGATATTACTTAGTCAAATTCTAACTTTTATAGCCTTCAATCTTACTTGTTCACAGTCAAAAAATAAAGAATCAGACCCACTTGCCACACTTACTTGTTACATCCTCTTTCACAAATTACCAATAGTTCTTTCTGATCTTTTATACTTTATTATTTGTAACCAATAGAAAGGAAAAGATTTAATCTATCAAATGATGTATTATATAACATTATTTTCAGTATAAAGTATTGTCTCTTTCATCTGCAGTTTTAAAGTTTCTCTACCAGTGTTCAGGTTAACAAGCTTAGGGAATTATTTAAAAGCTCTTATGCCAAACTTAGAAAGCTAGTTAAATTTTGATAGTTATAAGACATTGTTCACTTTGTGTGCTAGTATTCTGTGTTCTTAAATGCATTACTAAAGTAAATAAAAATTATTTAGTGTTCAAATACCATCAGTATAAAAAAGAAGTCGGCTTAAATCTTATTAGTAACAACAGCAAAAAAACATGATGTCAAAGGTAAGTACTGTATTTCTTGTTTTTCATATACATTCTTCATTTACTATTATAAAAGTAACTAAAATGTAGAAACTCAATAGATTTGATAAGGTTAGATTAGGTAAGATAATGAAAAAATAATTTAAAACAATTCTTCACCAAGTATGTTTGTGAGCAGCTTGTGCATTATGACAATTAATACAGTAACATGAACTACACGTTCACCAAGTTACTTACAACTTATGTGGTAGGATTATTAGTTAGGCACAGTTCAAAGGGCAATTAAATAATAAGACTACTTAGATATAGACTGTTAAGAGCCGTAAACTATTTAGGATATATATTTCCTATTTTTCATGGTGGTTACATGGTCAGTCAAAAGTTAGGGTAGAGAATATATCAGATAATATAATTTTACTGATAAAAACATTTGATATTTATTTAAGAGATTTTAGAGGTTATGCAAATGAAATTTTCATGAAAATTACTTTGCAATCAAAGAGAGAAACAACATGCAGTGTAAATTGTTAATAAAGTTTTTCATTGAACATTAACATGCCGTTTTCCACTATCAGAAGGTAAACATTTAGTGTGCATTGTAAATAAAGTTTTTCATTGAACATTAACATGCCATTTTCCACTATCAGAAGGTAAACATTTAGTGTAAATTGTAAATAAAGTTTTTCACTGACACTGAAGTGCTTTTTTTCTTGAGTTTATTAAATTCTACCTATGGGACCTTGAAAAAAAAATTGGAGTCTGAGACCCTTCACTGTGGGACACTTGTGAGAAATCTACATGAATTGTACTTTTTCAACAAATTAGGGTTATGAAAGCACACATAGCCTTTGACCAAGTGCAAACTGGTCAGAAGTTGAGTTTTTAATTTCTATCTTTTATGCATATTTTTTACTGGTATTTTTTTAACAAAAGTAACTAAAAATTAAAAACTTATTAGCTTATATAAGAGAAATTAAATGGAAAAAAATTCTTACATCATCACTCCTCATGTTAAGCATGCAGTATGTGCATGTGGTAATCTGTATCATTCATTTATTCTGCTTTAGTTACCCCCTCTCTCTTCCAGTGATTTACTGCTTGTCATGGCAATTAAACATGGTTCAAAGAGCAATGATTTCACAATTAATGTTAGGGTAGAGAAAATAAGAGATAAAGTATAAAGTTTTAAGAAAAAGAAAAACTTGTGATATTCATATAGGAGGTTCTGTACATGAAATATGAAATATAAGATGTAAAGAAGTATTTTTATTCTTAGCATGAAAATCACTTTCACTCATACTAACTCAGTAAAGGCTTCATAAATTAACAGACAAATATTTAATTAAAACATTTGATTAGAAAATCAATTTTTTTTTCTACAAAAGTCTTGCAAATGTTTAGCAAAAGCTTGCCAAATTTTGTGAAAATATACTAACTACATTCAAAGCTATAGCATGTATAGCAATGGTTACAAGGTCAGTCAAAATGATCAAGCCATATAAAGAAAGTTATGCAACTTGTGTAATTATTGACCATATATATACATACACACAATAATAAACTGCTAGAATTATTGTACAAACATTTGCCTGCTCACCCTCACTAGTCTAGTCCCCTAAATTTATCAATTGACAATGCATGCTATTAATAGTGTCCATTGCATTCAAACTGACTGATTCAACTATCCAAATATCTCAATAACCCAGAATAAATACTTCATTACAAATGAGTACAGATTAACAAGTAATGACTGTACAGTAAAAACTACCTACTACTAGAACTTATCAATAATTCTAACAACAAGATAATCATCCCATCTAAGGTCTAAGCCAAACCATCTAAGATACTACTGCATGATAAAAATGACAGTGAAGGCTTATCAAAACTCGAGAAAAATTATATTTCACAATAGATGTTATCAGTATCGAAACACGTTATAGCCTCTATAAAATGACTGTAAGTCATTTACTCTTTGTGTCATTAAAGTAATTTTCATTTAAATGCTTACTAACCTGAGAAAGATTAGCAGCAAATGCCACTGTTACAGAAAATATGAAGCTCTCTTGACATTTTTCAATAGGTCCAATTTGATAAAATCCTTCATCAGAATTTAACAAAGGCTTGAGCTGATTTGACTGAAGTATCATTAATGGAAATTTTTCCTTCTTATTTTTCAAAGGCGTCATATGAGTAGCTACATTTTCATCATTAGATGGAATCATTGAATCTGGAAGTTGGTCTTCTGTTTCCTTGTTGAGTTTATTGGGTGTTTCTCTTTCAAGGTACACACAGAGTAAAAGTTCAGGTTTGTGCCTAGCATGCTTGCTATTAAGAAGAGTATGCCATTTGAAATCCTGTAACAAAAATTAAAATAATCAATTTGGAATAACTTAAACTCTCCCTTGATTATCTTCACAGTCTTTATTACTGATTCTTTATTATGTTACAACACATAACCATCTCTCCAAGTTATGTTTTCACATTTGTTTTGTTATACATCTTCAAGTGCTACAAAACTTACGAAAATTATGAAGACTGAAAAGAAGGGTAGCAAATTTAAGAGAATTAAGTTTTCCTTAATTTCTTAAACTACATATACACATAATGAATGACAAGTAGAACTATTACACAATTGTACTTCTCCATGATATAAAAGTCCTATATCTTAGCTATCACTTTCTCAGAATACTGCCAGCATTATATAACTAATAAAGTTACAACAATTCTAATACATATACACAAATTTCAAATTCACAGCAGGGTTTCCCAAACCTTTTGGAGTTGTTGAACCCTTGAGAAACTTATAAAGTGTGAATTTATACACTATAGAAGATTCAAGAAAAGGAACGAAAGTCATTCACTCACTGTTGCTACTACGCATAGGGTGGTTAGTTACTAAGGCCAACCTTACCGTAGAGGCCATTTTTGACCCCCCCTATTGACCCCTATGTCTATATTCACCCCCTGTACCATCTCATCAACCACAGGGGGTTGATATCGACCACTTCAGGAAACCCTGATCAACAGTAAAAACATGAAAGATTATTCAATGAAATTGATCAAACAACCTGCTATCACATGTCACATATTATGTAGTATCTATAATAATTTCAATAACACAAATCAAGCATAATTGTTTGAATTTATAAATGCCAGGATTTTAAAATTTATCAGTAAAAAATAATTTCAAAATCAGTTCTATACAATAAAAATAGTTTTTCACATCTTCCAATTTTTAAATGTTTACTTTATTTTCTGTAACACATTAAAAATACAAATAATTAATAGTAAACTTAAATACATTAAATTCATTGTGGTATAACATTTGGTACTTATCATTCACTGTAATCTTAGCACAGAATCAAATTACTTTTCAATAAATAATACAATATTTGAAAGCAATACAATTATGTACTTTAACTCGTTATGTAATTTAATTAAAATATTATATAATTTACTTGAGACAGTAGTAAAGCATATGGTAAAATTGCTGAATGTATAGGTTTCCTACTATATCCTGTATCAATCCATGTTTTCCAGTTTAAATTATTTTCAACTCCTAGCCTACTGAGTTTAATATACGTATTATGCTAACTTACTGATTAGATTCAATGGGAGAGAACTTACTGCTTTATTTTCTTGAGCAGGCCGAATATCAAGAACCACATACCCAACAGGTTCCTTAACCTGGGTATTGTTATTAATAGCAAAACAATGTAATTTGATAGGTGTGCGTTGTAATCGATGTAAATGTAAAGACCGCTTGTCCACTTCCCATGCGAGCTCCGTGCTAAAATCTGGATCAGTAGTATGAGGTACAGGATCTGTGCTCATCACCTCACCATCAAACTTGGCTTCAATTAAAAGGGAGTGTGACTGACGAGTTTGAAAGTTACGGCCTACACATAAGAAAATATTTGAAAGGAGTACATATTACTAAATATATATGTATTATTTAGAAAAGCTAAAAATTAAAGAAGAGAATACAAAGTAAGGAAGGATAGCATGAACCTTATGCAGCATACCCAAACCTGAGATGAAATACAATTAAATGCAAGTTCATGAGAGATATATAGAGAAAAAATAATAACTGCAGCCATAATACAAACATCCAACATCTGGGCACAAATCATAAGATGGGTCATTATGTAATGTGCCCTGGTTTTTAGAGGTACTGGCAGAAGTAAGACTCAAGTTGCATTGGGGATACACTATCTAACCAGTTTAACCTCAACTTTGCAGGTATCATATGATTTAAAAAAAAAATTGAGCAGATGTTGGTGCTCTAGCCCACAACATCCCACATCTTTACCACCTTTCACTGTCTGCAGCCAGATGTGGGAAGGTAGTAGCACATAAGAAAAAAATAAAAAAGCAACAAGATATAATAGAATACATTACATCAATGGGGGAGACAGCAAAACTGTCCTTGAGGTTAACATTTCAGCCCCCAATATGATGTTTGGAGATAAATACCAAAATGTTAAGGTATTATTATACTAAGCCAAACCAATATTATAAGTATAGCTCCCATCCTATATCCTTCCATGCTACTATCTGGATCTTCAATGGTTGTAAAGAGATCCACATAGTAGCAGGTTTTATATAGGGAAGGTACTATTACTACCACTACATTAATCTACCAATACAAGATATGAAATGTCCAATAAGCAATTCCAATTATTTCCCCTGCAATAAATTCTAAAAATTATTTTATATTCTGCATATTAAATATTGTTTAAATCACTATTTTCAAACTTGGATAAATATTTTCTGTGTTTATTATAAAATAATTTAAATAAAATACTTAATTAAAGTTTTCTCCTTGAACCCATTAAAAATCAAATTCTGTACTAATATATTACTATTAGATATTAAGAACTGTACATTACTACAAATTGTACAATATCCAAAAAGCTGTAAGTGAACAATGCTCAGTATGGCATTTGGTGGTACATTACTGTTTGGAGAGGGAAGTTCAAAAATTTAAAAGCATTTCTTTTGTCATAAATATTAATACTTGTAGACAGCAAAAGGTGGTCAAGATGTGGGATGTTGTGGGCTAGAGTACCAACATCTGCTCAATTTTTCTTTTTTTTTAATCATGTGAAGCCAGCAAAGTTGAGGTTAAACTCGATAGACGGTGTACCCCAATGCAATTTGGGTCTTACTTCCGCTAGTACCTCTAAAAACCAGGGCACATTACATGATGACTCACCTTATGATTTGTGCCCAGGTGTTGGATGTTTCTATTGTGGCCAGGATTTTTTTCTCTCTCTCATATGAACTTATATTTAAATACAGTATGCATGTAGCCAGAATGCAATAAATATAGTTTCCACCATGACAAAATTAATATTGAAAATTTCTCCTTTAGTAATCAAAAAGTAGAAATCTATAAGTATGCTAAAATATACATTTTCATTTGTAACTTGGAATTAAAGATATAATTTTCCTATACTGAAAATATATTTCTGATCAGTACTTACCTCCTCTCATAAGATTAGCTATTCTTGTTCAGCTACAAGCCTTGCACTGCCCCTTGTTGGAATTAGTACATTTCAATGTGTCTGTCTCTCATACAAATCATCATGCATCTATTAACCAATAGTAGCATAGTATGCTCACATGACTCCCATGTGAGCACCAGAGAAGGGGGGGGGGGGTGAGAAGCAAGTACCTATCAGAAATAAATTTTCAGTATAGGAAAATTATAACTTCCAATATGGTACTTACCTCTGACCATGAAAAAAAAGAGATCCGGAGATCATAGGAAGGGAACTACACCACTTCTTAGCCAGGTATACTCTTTGCCCTTGTGTATAATTCGTAAAACACACGGGCAGAAATCGTGAGGTGTACAGTGGCTAGGGTGCATCAGACCATACTCTGCAAGTCAACTACATCCAAAACCTTCTCTAAGATCTCTAGATCAGCTCTAATTCCTGGGTACTACACAAGGATCAACACCCTACAGTAATCTGGGACTGGCCATCCGGCATCAAAAGGATGAATGCAACTTGTGCGAGGACTCATATTGATTGGTTCCCTCGATTCCAACACCTCAATGATGGGAACCGACGTCCACGCGAAGGTTGGACGAGGGCTCCCAATCAAAAGTGGTGAACTGATCCAGAACAAACTCAATATGGTATGGAATGTGTAACAGGAGGCCATGTCAACCAGTTTGGTGATGGATCAACTCCACAGTAGTATAATTAGTATAAGGAGGCCACATCAGCTTGTAAAGTGATGGATCAATCCAGTGGTTGTGGATATTGTTGAATATGTAAATAGTATCAGGAGACCACATCGCATCTACACCAGCAGAATACAACCACCCTACTCTCGACTGAATGGGTTATAGCCAATTTGTAAGCAGAACCCAATCAGGAGGGTGCCTACATGGTCAATCATATTCTCATACTTCACTCAAAGAAAGGGGGGGTGAGAATGCATTGGAGAGTCCAGAGGAATGTCATCACCCAAGACAGTGCAATAGGTGACCACGATACCATATTTTGTAAAGCAGACCACACCGAGTTATTCACTCAAGGAATGGCAGGGATGGGCAGCTATCTCCTTCTGCTTTACCAATGCTGTCCATGGGTGGTACAGTCCAGAATGGACATACATATATATCACGAAGTAGATAACCTTCCAACGATTTTGTGGAACATCCATCTCTACAGTGACCGTGCAGAACCACGGATGATAGAGCAAGAGTCAACATGGCTTACAGTGCAGATTTTAAGTGAAAAAATATCTGGTCAGGAAAAGGAATAAAACTTACCAGTTCAAGTCGCACCGAAGTCTGAAGCATGGCCACAGATGGAAGGCAAAACTCCAATGTGGAGGAAAGCTTGATGTCATGAAGATAATGGGAGATGAACATACTGGGCATGGTCCACATGCCAGCTTGAAGAATTTTCTCCAATGGACAACTAAGACGGTAAACGAGGGAAAATGTAAGATGCCAAATTTAATGGGAGGACACGTGGAATAAGGTACAGGAAGAAGAAGGTAAAGAGGAGTAAGCCAAACAGACCAGAAGGCGGATCCAATCGGTAAGGGCAGAAGGGGAAAGATCACAAAGGGAGGAGGCTTGCCAGGGAATGAAAAGACAGTTGCACATACTCCGGAGAGTAGCTGTACATGCAATATAACACTGCAGGGCACTGATGCGACACTGCAGTCTAGCGGGGTCCAGACAAGAATAAACATGGGAGATAGAAGGTAGGGAAATAGGAGAAAATGAGGAACAACCTTGAGCTGCTGCAGTGATGGGGAGAAAAGAACGGTCAGGATAAAGGAGAAGATAGGTAGGATGGTAAAGGGTATGTGAAACATTAAAGGTAAATAAATCAGTTCGGCAACATCTGCAGACAAAAAGGAGACCGAAACAGGTCTTAAGTGACAAATGAAACAAGGAACACGGGGAAAGTGGTTCAAATGAAGAGAGGGCATGGAGGACCACATTAAGGTCCCAATCTGGAAGGGAAGAACACCTAGAAGGCCTCTGAATCTGGAAGAAATGCATGAGCATAGTGAGAACAGGGGAAGTAAAAACCCTACAGTATCTGGAGAAATGGAAGGTATGGGAAAGGGCTGCCCTATGTCCAGGAATCAAAAAAGACAGAAGACCCATGGTCGAAGAGCCAGGTGAGAAATTCCACCAACCGAGTCACCGAAGGCTTGGTGGCAGGAAATCCCCTGTCAGCAGACCAATAGTGTAAGACCTTCCACTTGTGCTGGCAAACTTCCATGGAAGATGGACAAATAGAAGTAGCTAACAGGGAGGAAACTCGATGAGTGAAGCCGGATCTCCTCACCAAGAACTTGACAAAAGCCAGGCATAAAGATGCAGGTTGTGGAGATTAGGATGAAGAGCAGGGGATCGAAGTTGACACAGAAGGGAGGGAAACATTGGAAGAGGTGCAGGTGGTGAGAGGAGCAGACACTGGAGTCTTGGAAACCAGAGCTGTGCTGGCCAATGGGATACATTCAGTAGGACCCAACATGAAGTGGAGTGTACAAGAGAAATCATCTAATGAAGCAAACAAATGGGTGGGTACACATAAAGATAGTTGTGAAACCAATCGTGGCTGAAGGCATCGACAGCCAGAGCCTGTGGGACTGGTGACCAAAACAGGGGAAACTTTATATTGAGACCCATGGCAAATGCATTCAATTGGGTAGAACCCCATAGAAGGAAAAGGTCTCTGAAAATGATCAGTTCTAATGACCATTCCTTGGGATAGAGATGGTCCGGATGTGAAAGACGATCCACTACCAGATTGAAAGCACCCAGCACGTGACATACGAGAGGAGGAATGTGATGTGCCTTGACCCAGTATTAAAGATCCAAGGTCTAAAAACAAAGATTTCTGGACCATGTGCCCCCTTGGTGGTTAATATGAGCCACTACCATACAGTTGTTGGAATGAACCATCATCAGACAGTGATGAGTGAGAGAAAGGAAGTGAGATAACGTACAACAAACCACCAGAAGTTTGAGAACATTTATATGCAAGATGAGTTCCTCTGCAGACCAACAGCCAAAGCTCCGTGGTGAACGACCCAAGCCCCCCCCATCCCTGAAGGAAAGTATCTGTGAATAAATGGAAAAGCGGACATGGGGATGAAGTAGCACACCTACCAAAGTATGCAGTGTGTTGAGCCATCACAGCAGATCGACTTTCAAGGAAGGGAAATGGTGGCTGAAAGAGGATCCCCTGCAAAGTTCCATCACTGCAGGGATCTCATATGGGCATGGCCGAGGAGGACCAATGCAGTCTTGGAAAGACCACATCCCCAAAAGCCATAGAACCTCTCCAGCAGTAAGTGATCAAGCTGAGAGGGCATGATGAACTAAAAGTTCCTTTGAACTGAGGCATAC